ATATGGCAGCATCGTCTTCCCACAAACCAGAAAGATCGCCAAGAAGCTCGACAAGTATGTCGTTAACTTCGTTCTTAAAAATACAACGAGCAATACTTAGTGGTTGCGATACTTAGTATTTTTTCACGAAAAAATCATTGTTAACTGAACAAGACAATAATACCAAAAGCCGAAATCATAATAGCATCCCACATCAAGGCAGGGCAAAAACCATAAGTCGGAAACAAAAACCTAAAACTATCCAGGTGTCAGAACCAAATCAGAATCTAAGCAAAAGGGATAGCAACTCACCGAAAATCTGAAAAACAACAAAAGCAAAAATAAAGCTAAGCGGTCGCCACTACCTCCATCCCGTCCAGCACTGCAGCCTCATTCGTCGTAACCTCCACGAGCACTTGCTCTGCAGCCTCGTCCGTAGCCGTCTCCACGGGCACCTGCTCAGACACCTCGGCATCCACGCTGGCGGAAGGAACAGACTCGCCACCCTCAGGTGCACTTATTGGGGCAGGGATAACCGTAGCGGTAATCCGCTCCACAGACACGATAGTAGGCTCAACAAGGGCAAAAGCGAGTGCACCATGCGCAGGAGCCAACGACTCTGTAGTAGTTGGACCCGATGCAGCCCTCTTAGCACTAAGACCGGATAAACCCGGATTCTCGCTGTTGGACCCTGAGAAGTTGCGCACACCTAGCGACGCTGCAGCCAAGTCGATACGCTCACCATCATCCAGCCCAACCGGGAGGGCGCGAAGAATCCTCCTAAGGTTTGTCACCTCATCTGTAAGCATCTGATGGGCTTTTTCTGACTCAGCCACCGCTGCGATAAGATCCTCCTCCTCGGTCTCAAGATCTGAAGGAGTCTCGCTCCGAACCTGTTGAACGAGCTGTAGGTTGCCCTCGGCCTGAGCAAGGTCAAAACTCCTCTCTCTAGCTTGTTCAACGACATCGAACTGCCTCTCAATACAAGTAAGTGTCTCCTGGAACTTGGTTGTCATCTCACATCTCGCCTTATGAACGGCATGCTGTACATTCGCGTCTTCCTTTCCAAATGCCCTTAACTTGGCAAAACAGTCTTCTAGCCTGTGGAAGCGACGAGTGTTGGAGGCAGTCAAATCCTCGTTGTCTTTCCGCACCCTATCGAGTTGATCGCGGAATAGCTTTATCTCGGACTCCAGGTCAGCAAAGGGCTTCGTCGCCACGCTCGCGTCACCATTGTACTTCTCGGCATCTCGTTGCGCATCCTCGAGCTGACGCCTATTTGCCTTAGACTCCACCTCGTAATCCAAAGTCATCTTGCTGAGGTGGGAGATGAACTACAAACGGCAAAGGAATGCAAGGGTAAAAATCCATAAGGAAAATGAAAGGACTTGTTCTAGAAATTGAGTAGGAGGAAGGGTGCGACATACCTAGACTCCGTGATGAGCCATCTCGGCGTAGCTCCCTTCGCCCTGGAGGGTATCGGGAGGACGAAAGCGAGTGCCGTGAAGGGTGATCTTGGAAAGCATGGACGCAGTAGTCCAGCGAAAAGACTGGTTAGCGGTAGAGTCATCGGGAACCGGTGTGGCTGACTCGATGTGTGTCCCAGCCGCGGTGTCTGGCTCAACCTCGATGTACGTATCCTCCTTTGTAAGCTGCTGCTCCTCGGTGTGCTGCGCCGCCTCAACAGTTTTCTTCTTTGCCAAAGCTATCTTGTCGCGAAGGGTAAGCCTGGTAGACATGAATGCACTAGAGTCGGTGTGATTCGAAGACGGAGAGGAACCCAGAAGAGTGGAACCGGCGCGCCGAGCTCTAGCTCTCTCAACTCGTCGAAGGGAGAAGTGCTTCCTCCAACGACACGTCCGAACAATGAAGGCTTCGTAAAAGTCTGTTCGTGCCCTTCAGGAATTCCAAGAAGCGCTTCGGGAACTTCAAGAAGCGCTTCGGAGCTGCAAAACATACAAAAAATTAATAATACAAAGGCGTTAGAAATCACCACCAAAAAGAGCCTAGATAACACAAGTCTAAAAATCTATGAGAACCACTACCGCGAGTCCCCACTCAGTCAAGATCTTATCAAGCCAGTTAGGTTCAACGGAAGCCTTGTTTATCTTCACGAAGAAGAACTTCTCAAACCAAAAGTTATCTTTGCTTAGGAAGCCTTTGGTGATCTGATAAGTGGCTCTGCCCGCCGAAAAGTAGTTGATTTTGGCTTTGCTACCATTCTT